GCAGGGCAGCAGCTCTTGTGCCGTGAAGAGACATCGTGGCCAGCCTGCCAGGTCACCGCCCAGACCTAAAAATGCCAAAAAAAGCGGGGTGGGGGGAAGAAGGTAAAATATAGCAATTTGGTAACTATATGACTTGCACCCAGCACCAGGCATTTGTGCCCACCACACCAAGGGAGGATATGCCCATGGATATGCTGCACCTGGCCAGCTGTGTAGGAGCAGCCAGTACCCTCCTGCTTCCCCACAGGCAGAGTGGGCAGCAGTGCTGAGCAGTAGTCAGGTCCACTCCCACAGGTTAGGATCCTGATAAGAGGTCAATGGAAAACTGTTACTTGGGCTCCTCATCCTCCTGTAGTGCCTCCTCCCCCTCCCTCTCACCTCCAAATGTCACTAACATTTCTTGCCCGGCAAGGCAGTAGCCAAGCCATTGAAGCGCTGCCAGCTCCCGTTCCCACTGCTGCTGGTGGAAGAACCACCTGCTGGGGGCACACGGAGCTTGCCGGGCACCACTGCATTGGGTGGGAGCAGGGACGGGCTGCCCTGACGTCCCCAGGATCCGGGAGCACTGCCAGGTTCCCTTCACAGTGACCTTTGCCTCCGTGCTGCCTGTCCTCAGTGCCACCCTGGTAGTCTTCGAGGGGGTAAGGAGGGGACTCCTCACCTTGTATTGCACCTGGACACCCCTACCATGACAGGCCAGGAGCCTGGTCAGGAYCTCCAGCTGCTCAGCATAGCACAGCCCAGCCAACCAGTCATGGTGGCTTTGGGGACTATGGAACTCCCACTGCCATCAGACCAGCTGGAAAGCATGGAATCCTCAGCAGGACAGGTTCTCCCTCCAATTTGACTGAAACCCAGCTCCTTGTCCCTCAGCACCTACTGCCCCTCCACCTGGTGGCACAGCCAGCAGCTCTCCCCAAAAATCCACCCAAAGATCCAGGGCAAAGCACACATGCAGCCCTGGATGCAGGCCATCAGACAAAAACCGTGTTCCGTCAGTGCCGTGCTGGGTTTCACAGAAACCAGTCTCCAGACACTTTAGTGCCTGGTATGAGATCTGGACGGACAGGACTGCCCGCTCCTGCCCTGGCTCGTCACTGGTGACACTGGCCACCCCGAGTATCTGAGACAACGCCATGACCCTCCGTGAGGACGTGCCATTTGTGATGGCAGGCGGGAAGCGGCTGGGGAGCCCGCCAGCGGCCGTGAGCGCCTTCCAGCCGCATCCCCGAGGAGAGCAGCTGCAGGGGAACGGTGGAGACCAGGGSACGAGCCCCGGAGGCGGCGGCGGCCCCGGCGGCATTGTCCTTCCCCGCTTTCCCCCTGCGCCGCTCCGGTCACAACACGGCGTTACGCAAGCCCACGCTCCGGAGCTCCCGACGAGCCAGCCTGCCGGGGGGACGCTCCCGCGGGCCCCGGGCTGTCCCAGGCTRGGGATCCGGCTGGAGGAAGCACCCAGCGGCTCACCCGTGCGAGGTGAGCGCTCCACGGCAGCCCCCGCGCACGGGCCCGCAGCGGGCGCGGGGCGGAGGGGGAGAGCAGCCACCGACCCGAGCGCCCGGATGTTGGCGAGCCCGCCGCGGCCACCCGCGGCCCCGGGGACCGMACCTCGGGAGCTCGCAGGGCGGCGGGCCGGGAGCCGCACGCCGCGGCGGAGCGACGGAGCTGGGCGAGCTGAGCTTCGCCTCCCCCGCCTCCCTCCCCCTCCTCCGCGCCAGCCCCGTGGAAAACAAAACAAGGAAGAGGCAGAAAGTCTTTGTTGGGGCCTTACCGGGGGCGCACGGCCGTCGTTGGCGCGCTGGGGTTAATCCGCCATGAGCGCTGGCAGCCGGGGAAGGCCGGGGAGCCAGCGGCCACGCACAAAAGAAAAGTTGTTGAGCTTCTCTTCGGCGGGGCTGGCAGGCGGCGGTTCCCCTTCCTGGCCCTGGGCCACCTCACGTCACCGCGCCGGGGACGCGCTCGTTAAAGGCGCACGGCACAGAAACCTCCAGCGCCGCGCCACAGGGGAGGGGAATCGCCCGAGCCCGGCCACAGACACACTCACTGCCCTCACCCTGCCCAGGCCCTGGAAACGGAGAGCTGGTGGGGACGGAACAGATCCGCTCTGGGCCCCAGCGCAGCTCAGGGAAAGCCGAGGGCTCGGCAGAGAACAGCCCCCGATGCTACGTCTTCCTCTAATCCAACTGGAGTCACATGCCAGCTGACCCCTGAAGAATTACCCCCGATACGCACACGTCCCGCGGCCAGATTCGATGGGAACCGGACCCTACGGCTCGCCAGCTGGAGTTGGCAGGAGTCAGGCGAGGAAGGTYCCTCGCTCACGCCTCGCTGCTGTTCCGGAGACCTTCGGAAGTTSTTTCCGCAGGGTTTCGCTGCCTGAGGCGGCTCGGGGCCGCAGGATGGGGCGCCCCGAGCACGGCACAGGAAAGGCACAAGGAGAAGGTTCTTTCAAACGGGCGCTGGGGGCAGCAGAGGAACCCGCGGGGAACGCGGCCGCCGAATGCCGCTGGGGAAGGCTCCGACTTTGCAAAGASTCAGGAAACGAAGGACCACACGCCCGAGCCCCAGCGCTCCGGCCGGGACGCCCCCGTCCTCATGGAGGAGGACGCCGCTGGGCYTGGCCGGAGATGGAGGCTGTGCCACAGGCGCGCCCCGCCGGCCCGAGCGTTTCGCGCCTTGCCGCCCTGTGGCACGGCCTCGCTCTGCGGGCCCGGGCCCTGCCGCGGGAACCGCCCCCCTCCCTTTGACCCCAGCTTTCCCCGTACCGTGACCGTGGCCAGGGCTCGTGTCTGTCTTCGGCGTCTGCGGAGCCGCCGGGGCCTCAGTCGTACTGGTGGTCGCGTACGGAACCGAARCCGCCAGAGTCGCGGCCGCGGCCGCTCTTATTCGAACGGCAGCGCCTGCCCCCGCCGCTGCCCATTGGGCGCCGCCGGGCCGGGGGGCGTCACACGGGCGGGCACACCGCGAATCGCGGGGTCCTCCACACACGTGGGGCTCTAGGGGGAGCGCTCTGCCGGGCACCGCGACACACGCGGGGCCGTGGGCTCTGGAGAGATGCATGCAAGAGACCCTGCTGTGAGGGGCTTATAGGGCTGCCTGGGGCCAAGGGGGACACAGACAGGATCTCCGTGGGGCCACAGGCGGGAGTCTCTCTGAAGGTCAGTGACACACACAGGAGCACAGGGGTACGTGGGTGTGTACGTCTCAGGCTGCCACTCAAAGGTAAGGACACATAAGTGGTCCTGTGGTGCTTGTGGAAGGGRTTGTGTGGGGTCACATGCAGGGCTAGAAGTACATGAAGCCCACAGTGAGACAGGGGACATGTGGGGGACTCTGGGGGTGTGTCACATGTAGACACTCCACTCTGCCTTGCAGTGCCAGCTGGGCAGGGGTCTTCACCAGCCCCCAAACCTGCCCTGACCTTCTAGTGAGGCCTCATTTCACTTGGGGGCTCCTTGGCTTGCCTCCATGCTCACAGCCCTATTTCATCCTGTAGAGGCCCACAGTTGACTTTTGTCATGAACTGGATTGTGATAGCWCATTCCCCCCACCACCACCCCAGCCCCAAGACCTGAGAAATGCTCCTTAGGCCTTTGCCTTAACAGCACCTTGGCTAAGCCCCTCTTGAGCTTATCAAACATCATCTGTTCCAAGGAACAAACAGATGTTTAATGATAACAGTTTCTAATGAACAGTCTTGGAAACTTATTCTTCTTGCCTGAACAACAACCCAAGCAAAATAGTATTTTTGCTGTTGAACCTTCAACCAAYTCAAATYGTGGCCAGRATGAAAAATTACTATGACTAAAGCCCACTGTCTTGCAACCTTGTAGACAGCAATCCAAAGTGAGACCCTTTGAGCTCTTGATTATAAGGGGCTAATGCATACTAAYGCCCACTCTCTAATGATCCTATAAACTGCAGTCCAAACCAAGTCTCACTGAGCATTTTTATTCCCAGAAGAGAGCTAATGTGTATTAATTGTGTATGTCTCAAACACTGATCATTGGATGGCTGTGGAGCCAACCAAGGACTGTTGGTAATAAACAAGGACTGTTGATATTAATATGCCATGAGAAAGAACAAGATGTGGCTAGAGAAGGGGGGCAAGGTGAGATAGGACAGCACTGGAAAAACATCCTTGTTGTAGTTTCTGCTGATAAGCACAAAACAGTGCAGCACAAGCACGGGAATGAGTGGCAGGAAGTGGGCATGGACTATAGGGTGGGATTAAGACCACCACAGACCCCCAAATCCCTCCGACCCACTTCCAGAAAGACTTGAAAGAATAGACTGCACATGATAACGAATTTGCATAGAAAATGAGAAATCCATCTTCAGGATGGGGAAACCTGTCCATAAAAGGTACCCTGCAATTTCCACAGAAAGTGGAAATCAATTAACTAATAAAACTTTCTGATTATTTGCAGACCCTCTGACTTTTGACATTCCTTTCAACAATGGGCATTTACAAATCTTAGGTGCTTCCTTCCCCTTAAGGGTGGATCATCATACATTCCCTGTTTCCCTGTCCTCTTGGCTCTGAGGGAAATGATGGAAGAGGTAACAAGGGACAGACAGATGTGTGTGCCCCCTCCCCACCATGGCACGGCTTCCCCACCACTTCCATGCTATGTCTGACAGAGAACAGAGGAGACAGGCACTGGATGAAGATGGCTTTATCTACTGTGGCAAATAATAATAATAATTAAAAAAAAAAAAAAAAAAAAAACAAAAACCAACCGAAATAAAGGTCTAAACATGTAAAAATGAGAAGGGATGGTGTTGGAGCCACCAGGCCCCACACAGACCATCCCATCTGCCTGGCTCCAGCCCACCTGTACTGGTGACTYGAAACACAGTGCTGACCCACACCAGGGCCTCCTTGCGCTGCTGTTCCCTTTGTGCTCATCCCTGTGCAAGGCAGCATCCAGCTGACATGGCCTYCTCCCCACGCACACCCACCCAGCCACCCACACGGAGGAGAAAGCCTCAAGCAATGCAGGTGGGCCCAGTGTGCTAGTGATGGGCGCCTTGGCATTTAGTAGGAAACAGGGTATCTGTCCAAGTTCTGTGGCAGCACCATGGGGAGGGAAGGGATACAAAGAGAAAAAAATGGGAAAAAAACCAAAAACAACCCAAAGCGGTGAAGCAGCGGTGGTGGGGCAGGCTCAGGGGATGCCAAACTGTACAACCAGTTCTTCTTTGGCGTCGACACGGATCTGTGAGAGCGCACTGAAGGCGTAGGCAGCTATCCGGGACACCTGCGGGTACGAGGACATGGCTGTGTCACTGGCGGCTCCTGTAACTCCCAGTTATCCCATAGAAACTGTTGCAGAAGGTTAGCCTTCAGCCCTGAGCCCKTCCTGGGCTTTGCCCCCAGCTCTAACAAGGCCTAAAACCTGACCCATGCTTTGCCCTCAGCTCTAACAAGTCCTGMCAGGGCTCTAGGCAAGCCAGGAAGGCACCACTGCTCCTCCAAGATAAGGGTGTTTCTCTGGGGAACATCACAGCAGCCCAGAGCTCACCCCAGCCATGCTCACCTGCTGTAGGTCTGCGAAGGGGACAGGGTCACTGGCGAGCACTTGGTGTGGTTGGTTAGTCAGAGAGGGCAGCAGCGGGAGCTTCTTCCAGTGCGTCAGGTTGCTGCTGAGCATGGCCAGGCGTGTGCTGTGAGGGGAGAGCAGCGAACATGAGTGCCATGCCAAGATATGGGGACACCCAGAAGATGGGTCCTGCACCCCCAGGTACCCAGGATCCCTAGGGGAGAAATGGAGAGCAGTGCTGGCTGCACTCCCAGCATCCAGCCCTCTTCATGCCCTGCATGAGGAGGATGAGGGAGCTTCCAGCTCTCCAACACAGGCACCTTTCAATCAGAAGCAGTCACAACCAGCCCCTTGGGTGAACACAGGAACCTTTTGTCCTGGGCTCTGCTGTCTGCACTGCCATGGGCCTTCCCTGAGCAGGCTGTACCCTGCTCTCAGAGATGGGGCAGCCCTGCTATGTGTGGAGTTCACTCYCCCAAGCCAAACCCCCTGGGACCTGCCCAGGAACACACAAGGCCRTAAAGGGACTGCAGGGACCCCAAGGAAGAAGCGCACCTGTACTGCCTGGCTCTGTCCATGTACTCGTGCTGCTCCATGCCCTGTGAATCTGCTGCTGACACGTCAATGATGTTGCTGCAGAGATACAAGACAGTGGCTTCCACTGGAGGCTTATTGATCCCTGTTGAGTTTCCTCCCCATCTCAGAGCATCCTCCAACCACGGCAGACAAAATCCAGCACCCGCCAGCACCCCAAAACAAACATCTCAAGGCCAAACGCGCCCAATGAATGCTGCCAGTTGGACATAAGTGTGCCAGACTGGAGTAGCTGTTCACCAGGAGGGAAATGCCAGGGACTGTTTGCCCACAGCCACCCTGGGGCAGAGGCAGGCAGAGGCTGCARGAAGCTGGGGACTGGTCTGGGGTCTGAAGACCTTGGCATGCAGCCACTGGGGGAAAAAAGCAAGGACTGGGAGATGCACTTGGTAGATGTTCTGAGAGCGCCACTACTGGGCCCTGGGCTCACAGAGGAGCCAGGTGCTTGCCCAGGGCCTTGCCTCAGCCCCATTGTGTGCTACAGCAAAGCAGCACTCAGGGCTGCCGTGGCACTGTGTGTTGGACACACCAGTGGCCAGTAGCTTGCCAATGCCAGGGGAGTGGAGGGGCCTACAAGCATCCCAAAGCCCTCCCAGCCAGGATGGACACAGCCCCCTCCCCTGCATTTGAGGAAAAGGCTCCTCAGAAAGGGATATGGCACTGGTGCCCCCCAGCCACCCTCTCCACATCCCCATGGACTCGCTTGTCCAAACCCTGCCCCTATTTCCAGCCCAGCAGCCGAGTGATTGGTCACCTCACATCTGGGGTCTTGTCTCTATGTCCCCATGGGGCTCAAAGCTTAGGTAGGGGGCTGTCTGAGGGCAGAGACACGGAGAGCTCTGTCACAGCTCTCCCCCTTTCCCTCAGTACATATGGCTGATCACCAGGGCCCAGAGCCAGGCAGCTCCCCAGCTGCRTGCCACATCCAGGGTCACTGCTGGTCCCAAAAGTGTGCTGCCTGCCCCGAGGGCATGGGCTGAGGCTTACATGGCCGTTTTGGCGAGGATGGAGGACAGCATGGCCTGCTCATCTGTGCGTGCTGATGGGAGGTTGTGGTAGCTCTGCTCYGCTCCATTCAGCACCTTGTTGGGTGGGCTGGCTGCCGGTTCCAGCAGCCGCTTTGTCTCTTCTTCCTAAGTGAAAGGCAAGAGGAAAATCAGCCCTGGCTTCCCGCCACCAGCACCATTAACCCCGAGGGATGAGGCAAGTCTCACCCGCCACCTGCCAGGAGGGCTCCCTGTGCACCCCAGTGCAACTCAGCACAGYCTCAGCTCTGCTACCTTTCCCCAATTATTTTGCTTTTCTCCAGCAGAACGCTCCCATCCACAGAGGCACAGCAAGTGTGGCTGAAATGAGGCAGCACATACGGAGTAGCCAATCCTGCAGGCAGGAGTCTGCTGCCAGCATCGACCTGCACAAAACCCTACAGCTAATGAGTGCCTACCATGGCCCCACCCCTGACTGAGTACCACAGACACTGCACCGTGGCACAACAGGGGTCTCATGTGAGCCAGGTGAATGCCACCTGCCACAGCCCAGAGACAGTGTGGGGGGTGGGGGGGTCTCAGAGTCACAGGGCATGTTCCCCACTCACTCCAGAAGTGCAGAGCTGCAGCTCAACCCTTAATCCTCTGGCTTGTCTGAACGGTGCTGCAGGGACTGTGAGAAGAGGCCAATAAGGAGATCAKGGGCACAAACACGCAAGAGAACAGGATCACAAAATCAGTAAAATTGGGAAAGCCCTCTGACCCCAACCATTCTCTCAGCACTGCTGAGCCCGCCACCAAACCATGTCCTCCACTGCCAAGTCTACATGGATTTTACATCCTTCCAGGGATGGGCACTCCAACACTGTTCTAGGCAGCCTGTGCCATGGCWGTACAACACTTTCAGGGAAAATTTTGCCAAATACCTAACCTAAACCTTCCATGGCACAACCTGAGGCCTTTTCTTCATGTCCTATTGCTTGTTCCGYGGGAGCAGAGCCAGACCCTCACCCGGTTCCACCCTCCTGTCAGGGAATTGTGAAGAGTGAGAAGGTCATCCCTGAGCCTCCTTTTCTGCAGGCTGAGCCCCCTCAACTCCCTCAGCCACTCCTCGGGCTCCAGCCCTTTCTCCAGCTCCATTCCCTTCTCTGGACACGCTCAAACCCACCCACATCTGTCTTGGCCTGAGAGGACGCTCAGCCTGTGACCCATGGCGAGTTRCGAGTGCAGTCACACACGCGGGTGCCGGCTGGGCTCCCCTGGGACGAGCTGTCACAGACGAGCTCTCACAGCACCCGCGGATTAAGTTTCGCGGGACAGGTGACAGCCCAAATTCTGCCCCGGCCCCTGAGCTGCGTGGCAGTCACGCTGTCCCAAAAAGGAAAAGCTGGCGCTGCTCTCGCCGGTGCCGTGTGAGGTCTCGGACTGACACCTGCAGCAGGACAMGGGAAGGGTCCGGCACGACCCCCGAGCCCCCGCCTCCAGCCCCTACGCGGCACCAGAGGGACACACGAGGCGACGCAAGACACGCGAGGAACGAGTGACACGAGAGCGGCGACAGGCGGGAGCGGCGCTCGGAGGCCGCCCCGGGAGCGGGGAAGGGCCGGGCCCCGGAAGGGACGCGCGCCGCCTGCCCCACCCCCGACCGGGCAGCCCGAGGGAGCCGGGAGCGGGGCCAAGCGTCCCTCCCGGCACCGCCCCCGCCGCGGGCCTCGCGTCCCCCCAGCGCCAGGCCCACCTGGTCGGAGGCCTCGGCCTCGCTGCTGTAGCAGCAGCCCATGGCGAGCGCGGCCCCGGCTCCGGCACGGCCCCGCCGCGCGGTCACGTGAGCGCCGAGTCACCCCGGTCACGTGAGCGGCGGGGGAAACACACAGACACACACACACACACGCACACACACACACAGAGCAGGCCGCGCCCGCCGCCGGGGGCAGCGCCGCGGGGTCACGTGGGACGGGGCGGTGCTCACACGTGGCTGCGTCATGCGGCCCTGCGCGCGGTCACGTGTGTGCTCCCAGCGCGCCCCCGCCGCTGCTGGCCGCGCGCTCCGGGCGCGTTCACGTGCTCAGACCCCGTGCTCTCAGAGCTCCGGGCTCCCTCTGTTCCCATGTACCTAGTGCCCTAGTTCCCTGTGCACGGTAATCCCAGTGTTCCCAGTGTGGGAAAAATCACTTTACAAAAAGCCAGTGTCCATAATGGAGACAGAGAAGCCCTGCAACTTTATTTGAATAAAGRGAGAGAGTGTACTGGGGCACATGCCTRCGGGGTTTTCTCTCTCGAGGTTTTGGAGGACATAGCCTTCTTTTGTCCTAAACTCACACCTGCAGTTGTCCTCTTCCTTTCCCCATAAGCTGAGGTACTAGAAAGGTACAGCCTTCCCAAACTGCCTACTAGATATTATCCCTTGAACCTGTCATTTTCCCCCAAAAGTTCAGAAACTTAGTCTTGTGCAGACCCATTTGTCTGTTTCAAGAGTCAAATTGCCTGGGTTCTGTAAAAAAAAAACTAGGCTTGAAGTTGGTGGAGACATTAGTATCCATTTCAAAGACRTTAACACCCATACCTTCACCAATCAAATTGTTTGTAAAAACATTAGCACACATCTTTTCCCTATCAACAGTGTCTCGATGTTCTCAGTTTCCCCATGAGTGTTTCCACAGTGTTCCCATGTTCCTAGTCTTCCCAGTGTCTCCACTGTTTTCAGTATCCCCATGTTCTCAGTTTTCCCAGTGCTTCCAGTAGCCCCAGTGCCCCAGTGTTCTGAGAACTTCCAGTGTTCCCAATGCCCCCATGCTCCCTGATGTGTCCCTGATGTCCAGGTGCTTGGTTGCTGGCTGGGGTTAACCCATGCCTGTCCTTATTTGTCGCCCAGTGTAGGGCACTAAGGGTTGAGATAACAACAGGTCTGTCCAGAGCAGGCTGGAAACAAACCTGATCTCAGCATTTGCTGTATTGGGTCCAGTGCCTGTGGTCACAATGCTGCTTGATCCGTTAATGTGGTTATGGTACCAAACCCTGGGTATATTCCTGTATGTGCTCCCCAGGGTGACCTTTCAGAAAGTAGGGAGAAAGGATCAGCATTGCTTTGTTGCTGTACTGTGGGATATGAGTTTATGTMATGATTTATTATTATCAAGGGCAATAAGGGTATTTTGGGATGTGTATTCAGTGCTGCTCTCCTGCCCTTACCTCAGCACTACCTTTGGGAGTCCATTAATAATTGTACCCAGTCTGGGGTGGGTGAGGGAAMAGGGGAAGGATGATTTTYCCCCCTTTCTTCCCCCTTTTCCTTCTTCAGGCCTGTTTTTGAGAATTTTGAATTCCCATTGGATGTTAAAGAAACCATGTTCTAGTCACTATGTCTGCTACGTCTCAGTGCAGTCCACACCATTTTCAGAGTCATGTTTGAAGCCAGAACAGAGATTTCCAGGAAGGCCATTCARAGACCTGTCCCAAGGGGGAATAGTCATGAGTGGCATGGAATGTGGGAGAAAATTGGCCAATTTTTTTAGAAATTCCATGCTCCAGTGGTTTGGGAGTTTACCCCTGAACAACTACAGGACCCTGATAAAGTGACAGACTATTTACAAGGAGAATGCYGTGGCCACTCCAGAGATGAGCAACTTCGTGCAGTGTGTTGGGCCCTGGCTACTCTTTATTGGACACTGGTGGTCAGTAGACAGTACCTTCAGGGGAGGAGGAAGAAAGAGAGCAACAGGCACCATGGGCACACCAACTGCAGCTGAACCAGAGGAACAGCCCATGCTGGGAGCAGTCACCCCGGTAGAGAAGAAGGAATCCAAGAAAAAACAGGTCACTCAGTGAGGGATGACAAAGCAGGGCCCTCAGAACAGGAGTGGGAGGCAGGGCCAGAGAAAATCGCTTGATCCATGTACCCGGGTGAGCTGTAAGATTTGTGAAAAGGTTTCAGCTGTCAGTTAGGTGAGCCTGTGGTGAGCTGGCTGCTCCAGGGCTGGGATATCCCAGCCCACGATATRGAACTGGATGGTAGTGAAGCCAAGCAACTGGGATGCGTGTCCTGGGATATGAACACTGACAAGGGCATTGGGAAGAGGACAGAAACTCTCARCCTCTGGAGGCGACTCCTGTCAAGCATGAGGGAAAGGCATTCTCTCAAGGATGTAGTAGTGCACTGAGACAAGTGGAACACCATGGAGCAAGGTACCCAGTATCTTGGAGAGAATTTGCTGTGCTGGAGTTTGAATCCACTATAMGGATTCAAGTGATGAGCAGTCCCCTGTAGGCCCTGATGTCCAGGGTACACAATCCTCATGGCACAAGTTTGTACAGAGCATGGTAAGTGTTGTACATCACCTCATTGTCAAGWAAATTGGCAGAGGGAGCCATCTGGTATTGTCTGTCATCAGGACAGGGGTCTTCCATGTGAATTGTTTCTTTTGTACCCTCTGCCATTAGTATTGTTGCTGTTACTGTTTGTTTTCTTACATCCAGTGAATTGTTTTTATCTCAACCTGAGATCTTTACCTTTTCTGCCTCCAATCATCTGCTGGATGGATGATTCTCCAATCATCCTGCTGTGCTAGGGGGAAAGCAGGGGCGCAAGGGAGTGGGCATGGAAGSTCTCAGTGGGGGCACTGAACAGGGGAGTGYCATTCCTAAACCACAACAGATCCAACCATCCACACCCCCAGTGCTCCCRGTGCCCCCATGGTCTCAGGGCYGGCCCACAGTGTCCCGAGTCCACTGATTCTGGCTCTCAGTGCTCCTGATGCCCAGTGCTCCTGACTCACTGTGCTCCTGTTGCCCAGTGTTTCCAGTATCCTGGAATATATTCCCCTGTGCCCTCAGTGCACAGGGACAGGACTGCAGCTCCTAGTACCAACACCCCAGCATGAGGACCCCAGCCCCAGTATAGGCACCCAAGGCCCCAGTATCAATACCTCAGCTCCAGTATTAGCACCCCAGCCCCAGGCTCCCTCCTGCAGCCCAGGACCACCTCCCAGCCCCAGGCTGGCCCGTCCCTGTTGCCAGTCCCACTGAGCTGGTAACTGGAGCTCTGGTAGCAGCTGCAGCTGAGGTGACACCATCAATAATTGAGTGGCAGCAGGGTTCCACGCAGGACTGCCTGCTTCTGCCTGCCTGGAGTGTGGGGACAGGTAGGTGCCACCCCCATTGCCCTATCCTCTTGCTGTGGCTGGGGACCCCAACAGCTCAGGGTGTGGGGAGCAGGGTGTGACGTGCAGCATATGGGGGGTGGGAGCAGCAAAGCTGGGCCAGGGCAGGTGGAAGGGCTTGTGCTGTACAATGCCCCTGAGAKCAGTCCAACTCCCTGACACAGAAGTCCTGCAGACCCCAATATCAGCAGACGGGTCCCCAGCATTCCCCAACCCTGGCACAGGGACCCCCACAGCATCCTGGGGTACCCCAGCCCTGCAGGCCCAGCAGCACCAAAGCTCAGGGAGAGGTACTTCCAGGAGGTGTGCAGCACAGCCAACTCATGGCATGAGTGGGAGCTGTGAGGCTGGCACCCTGGGARGACATCCCACCACAGTATCCCCTGTGAGGGGATCCATTTGCCTTGTTATGGTTTAGGGCTCACATACTTCAATGATCTCTGCATAGGGGAGATTTTCAAAGCCTGGGCCCAAGGTTATGCTACTGATAGTGGACACAGAGAGTGCAGAATTTCACATTTGGCAGTACTTCCAAGATAAGTAGGAAACYAGCAAAGTCAACTCAGTAACTGTGCTAAAATCACAGCCTCACTCCCYTGTGATGGTGTCTCCGGCGATTGCCTTGGCCTTCCTCCCGTTCATTGTCACCCTGCTGATCCGGTACCGGCACTACCTGGTGCTGCTGTACCGGGCGGTGCTGGTGGCCTGGCTGCGGGACCGGCTCACCGGCATCTCACGGGAGCAGCGTGCCTTCCAGTACCTGCTGACCCATGCCATCCCTGGGGACCCCCACCACATCCTCCAGACCTTCGATCAGTGGTGCTACCACTGTGAGCACCTCAGTTGTGTGGGGCCTGACAAAGGTGAGTACCATCCTTGCTTGCCCGTACCCCACTGAGCATGGCCATGGCACCATTAGTGTGGCCATGGCACCACTGACATGGCCATAGCACTGCCAGCATGGCCACCACGGGCACAACCATGACACAACTGCCATGGTCATGACACCAGCGATACAGCCGTAACAGAGTTGGCATGGCCATAGTACCACTGACACTGCTGTGACAGTGTGGGTCACAGCACCATTGGCACGGTTGTGGCATTGTTGACATAGCAATAGTAACATTGGCATGATTGTGGCACCATTGACRTGGCCATTGCACTGCCAGCAGTCGTAGCACCATTGGTGTGGCTGTGGCATCATTGACACAGCTGTGACACTGTGTGACTGTAGCACTACTGGCATGTTGTGGATCTACCAGCATGGCCCTGGCACTGTTGGCATGGCCATGGCATCATCAACCTGGCTGTGGCATTTTTGGCATGGCTCTCCTCAMTCCTTCTGGGCACTGGGGAACTGCTTGGCACCTTTGCCCTGCCCAGGGCTGGGGTGGCACAGGCTTGTGGGTGCTGAGAGGCATATGCCATGTCAGGACGGATCGTGGAGCGGGTGCTGTTGGAGCGGGCACCACTGTGGGTGCTGGAGCTGGGCACATACTGTGGCTATGGCACTGTACTGCTGGCACAGGGGCTGCCCCCAGGTGCCCGCCTCTACACCATCGAGGGGGACCCCCGACACGCTGCCGTGGCTGAGAAGGTCATCCGCCTGGCTGGCTTCAGTGAGCAGACGGTRAGCACTGGGAGAAAGCCCAGCTCGGCACCTGAAACCGGGGAGGAGATGGGTGGGGGCCCTTCACTGCTGTGGCAGGGACTGTGGCACCTGCTGGGCAGTATACAGGGGAAGAGAAAGGTCCTGTCCCATGTGGACCCATCATCACCCTGTGAAGCAGGGTTGGTGGGTGGGCACTCTGATACCCTGMCCCAGGGTCTGAGGCTGCTACAGTGTTGTGGTAACTACAGTACAGGTGGAGCTGATCGTGGGCCCCTCRGAGGAGGTGATACCTCACCTACGGGAGAAGCACGGCCTGATGAAGGCCAACTTCGTCTTCATGGATCACTGGAAACGCTGCTACCTGCGGGACCTACAGCTGCTGGAGAGCCACCAGCTGCTGGCTGAAGGGGCCACCATCCTGGCCGATAATGTCCTCTTCCCTGGAGCACCTCACTTCCTGCAGTATGCCAAGACCTGTGGCAAATACCACTGCAAGGTGCACCGCGCCAGCCTGGAGTACTTCCACGCCATTCCTGATGGTATCGCTGAGCTCCGCTACACCGGTACACGCTGAGCGGCGGTGAGCTCCTGCCTCATGGTGGCCACGGTTACCGCAGGAGTGCCAGGTCCCCAGCCCCCTGTCTCGGCCTCAACATGGGCTCTGGAGGAAACGCAGTGGCTGCTGTYGTCTGTGGTGGGGTGTGGTGGGTAGCAAAGGGGCTCATTCTCTATAGTGCTCCTGCCTGCACTGCACAGGGACATCTGCCAGGCACCCCAGTGGATGGTGGGGAGCAGCCCTGCACTTGCCTGGGTGGCATGCCCTGCCCTGGTGGCTTCAGACACCAGATTTTGGGTTGTTTTCTTGAAAACTGAGTTTATTAGAAAAGATGTGTCAGCTCCAATGTGCCAGGTGGCAGTCTCCCCTCTGGCTYCCCTGGTGGGGCTTCACTCTGAGTCCCCTGCCCCACACAGCRCCCATGGCAGGAAAAGCTTCGCTGAACTGTCCTCCTTTGCGTGGGGGGCAAAGGCTCTCCCACAGCCTCCAGTTTGGTGTGGCCATGGCAGAATCAGATCATCCACTGGTCCTGATCCTGCTCTGTCCCCTCCATGTCCACCTGGGAAAGAAAAAGGTTTGAGATCCACCCCAGAGCAATAACCCCAGAGCGATAACCCCAGAGCAGAGAGAGCGAAGGAGAGAAGACAGCCCCCAGAGCTCAYGCTCAGGGTCCCACACACTGCACATCCCCCAGTTTAGGGTTTCACTCTATTTACCTCGTTGATCTCTCCATCATCAGGAGACTCATTATAATCATTCATCTCGTCCATATCCTGCATGTCCTCATCATCTTCCGAGTCCTCTTCACTGTCTTCATCATCTTCATCATCYTCCTCCTCCTCCTCATCATAGTGCTGTGGATAAACAGTTCCAGCACCCCATCTGCCCCGCAAGTCCTGTGTCAAACCCCCACTTCCCTGCCCACACACCCACCTCAGATGCTGGCTTTCCTATGGGCACCAAGTTGTTGTCCTTCTCAGCGATACTCTGGAGCTGGGGAAAGGAGAGAGGTGGATGAGCATCCTGAGACAGCTCCATGATACCCGGGCAAACAGGTCATTCCGTCTCAGCTGACAGCTTGTGTCGCTTCCTGACTACCCCTATTTCTAGCTGGCAGCTGCCCACAGAGTCCTGTCTCCCTGGCACCCCCAGCCAGGCAGGGAAGAGCAGCTGCAGGCACCTGCCTGAACACCCTGGCACAAGGCAGTGACATGCTGGGGCTGAGAGGGTTCAAGGTGTCCTCATGCGTGGTGTGAGGAGCTCAAACACAAAGCTCATGTATTTCTTTATCAAAAAAACCCCAAATTTGAGGCATCTGATAACCGAGATGAACACAACCACAGCASATAATTAAAGCTCAATTAAAATACGTCAGCACCTCCCACCCAGAGGGACTTGGAACCTCTTCTGAGTGCTGGGGTTTTAATTGATTGAATCTATTTTATTTAATTATAAAAATTTAATCACTGAGATTTTTTTTTAAACTTTAATCAAATAGATGTTCTTCCACCCAYACTCAGGGGCACCGAAGCACCAAACCACGCTCACAGCGCAAACACTTGTCAGTTACCAGGATCAGAAATCGCTCCTCGCCCCCTCGGGAGATCAGTTAATTAATTAATTGTGAGCTGATGCAGGAGTTCCCTGGRTTCAGCAGCAGTTAATCAACCCCCACACAGTAAACGGGAACCTCCGGGACAGCCCGCCCCGAGCCAGTGTGACACAAGAATTAGGGACAACGAGACTAGGGGTGTCCGAGCCGGCAACACCGGCACAGGACGCTGARAAACGGGCACAGTCGCTCAACACGCGGCGGGAGCGATGCACCGGAGGAGCTCCGTGCCCCGAGACGGCTGCGAAACCCCAGCCCGGACACTGCCTCGGGGCTGCAGCGAGCACCGCGGCCGTGCCCGCTGAGTGAAGAGGGGCCGCCTCTCCAACCCCGAACCCGCTCCCAGCCAGCTGACACCCGGCYCCGCGGCCCCACATCTCCCCACGCCCCGCTGCCCACCCAGGCCTGGTGCTGCTGCTCCTGCTGCTGCAGCTCGGTCTCGTCAACGCAGGGCCGGTCGAGGTTGAACCAGAGGGACTCGGTGAGACGGGGCAGGAGTGAGGGGAACAGCGTGGACATGACGTGAGCGCCAGCAGCAGCCCCGGACCGGCGCCGGCCGCCGAGCCGGAAGCGCAGCGCAACCCGGAATCAGTTACAGCGCACGGAGCATGCGCGGACGGGAGGGGGCGTGTCTAAGGGGGGGCCACGCACATAAGGGAAGAATAGATGGGCGTGGCCTAGGGCAGCGTATGGGGCGGGGCGATGTTTGATTGACAGGTGGAGGGCCGGGCCCTCCGCGCGTCCGGTGTGGGGCAGCTGTGACCCCCATGGGGGATATCTGTGACCCCCATGGGGGATATCTGTGACCCCCCCGGGATACCTGGCTACCCCTGGAGGTACCTGTGACCCTGCGGGGATATGTGAGGGGGACCTGTGACCCCACTGAAGGGGGTATTTKTGATCCCCACGGAATATCTGTGGCCCCCTTGGGATATCTGTGACTAATGGTGGGTATGCCACTCCACGAGTACTAGTGGCTCTGTAYACTCCAGGTATCTGTGATCCCCATGGGGTGTCTGCTCCTTTGGGGGCAGCTGTCATCCCTGGGTGAAGGTATCTGTCACCTGTGAGGGGGTATCTGTGACCCTGCTAAGGAGGATCTTCCCCCCTCCACAGGGCATGTGTGACCCCAGGGGTGTATCTGGTTCCCCCACCATGTGTGATCTTGGAGGTATCTGCCCCTCCCAGAGTATCTTCCCCCTCCGAGGCATGTCTGACACTGAAGRGTTTCTGTCCCGGGTGACAGCTCTCCCCCAGGGTATCTGCTCCCCCTTCATGGGGCATCTGTGATTYCCTGCAGTATCTGCTATTCCAGTGAGGGGTACTTGCCTCTACCCTGTGGCCATCTGTGACCCCACGAGCTACTGTCCCTACTASAAACATCTCTTACCTTCTGGGGTGCTCCCCCCAAGGACCCTGTGGTGTAGGGGGGCCAGGTCCTGCCCCTTATGCTGGTGTCAGGGAATCAGGCCACCTCCCACAGGAGGGAAGGAAAAACAGCCACGGGTGGATTTTGGCAGGTACTGGCCCCAGCCCGGCGCCAGGAGGATGAATCCCGGCTGCATGCGGGGCTGGGGGAGGCCAGGATGAGCAGGAGTGTCAATCCAGGACACAGCAGGGTGCCAGGGCGGGATGCACTGTTTCCTCCAGGCCCTCAGTGCTGCCCAATCCGCCGCATTCGCACGTCCCGTGATCAGTGGCCAAGGGTTGTGCTGGACCACGACCTTTGAGATGAGCCGCGCTTGTCCCACGGCACCTGGAGCCCAGCTGCCCACCAGGTCAGAGCCCCGACTGCTGGCACCCCCCAGGTAAGATCCCTGACGCCACTGCTGGTGGTCCTGGGCAGTGACCATGTGTTGCCGCGCTCCCACGTGCACRGTGGGGGACTTTGTCCCTGCTGTCACTGTGTCCCTCAGTGCTGCCGTCCTGACCTGCTGTTTCCCTGGCAGGGTGATGGCAACGGTGTTGGTGCTGCTGATGCTGGTGGCCTGTCCAGCTGCCACCACAGCAGCGCTGGTGACGCGGGACTTGCGGCTCAACRTCTGCATGGATGCCAAGCACCATAAAACAGAGCCCGGCCCTGAGGGGCAGCTCTACGGGCAGGTACAGTCCTCATCCACTGCGCCAGCACCCACTGGTGTCACTCGCTGGAGGGTCACCAGGATGGAGGCTGGGGAGTTCTGTGCCCCAAAATGAATTCCATCACCCAGTGTCACCCACCTGTGGGCACTGGTGCTTTCCCTGGACCCATAGCAGGTCCCAGCTGAGCCCTGGTGGGTCCTGATGGGTCCCAGCTGAGCCCTGGTTGTCCTGGTGCAGTGTGTCCTCTGGAAGGACAATGCCTGCTGCACCGCCAACACCAGTTTGGAAGCCCACCAGGACCAGTCCTACCTGTACAACTTCAACTGGGACCATTGTGGGGCCATGCCAGAGAAGTGCAAGCGCCATTTCATCCAGGACACRTGTCTCTACGAGTGTTCCCCCAACCTGGGGCCATGGATAGACCAGGTAGGTGCAAACCTCCCCTCACCCACCCACCAGGATCCCTGGGGTGAACTGGGGGAAACTGGGGGAAACTGGGGGCCCTGCAGGCAGATACCAGCTGGCGGAAGGAGCGGATCCGGGATGTGCCACTGTGCCGGGAGGACTGCGAGCAGTGGTGGGACGATTGCCAGGATGCTGTCACCTGCAAAGTCAACTGGCACAAGGGCTGGAACTGGACCACAGGTGAGTGGGGGTTGTGGGCTCCCTCCATTATGGCTCAACCCTCCTGTGGGTCTCCAGTCACCCTCCACCTTGCTGCAGAGGAGTTGTGATGGCTGTGAGTGAGCCCAGGAGGTGTGAGGGTTCACATGGGGAGGGGGTGGCAGCCAGGTGGGAATCCCCTGTGCATGTGAGCTGGTCAGGGGGCGTGAGGGTACTCATGAACTGAGGGGTGATGTGGTGGTGGATCCTGTGCCACCTTGAGGTCAATGCCCTCTTTCCCAGCAATGCCAGTGGGGCCCATCTGCACGTTATGTGCAGAGGAACAACGCTCTCCCTTTTCCAAAGCCTTTCACCCACTTCACCCCCTGCCCCTGCCAGGCACCAACCAGTGTCCCAGGGGTGCCATGTGCCAGAAGTTCAAGTTTGTGTTCCCCACGGCGGCTGCACTCTGCGAGCAGRTCTGGTCCGGCTCCTACCGCTACACATCCCACCACCGTGGCAGCGGTCGCTGCATCCAGATGTGGTTCGATCCCGCACAGGGGAACCCCAATATTGCTGTCGCTCAATATTACGCCCATGGTGGTGCTCCCCCAAAATCTCCGCTCTCCATCCTGCTGGCCCTGCTGCCTCTCACCCTCGTGGGCCTGCTCTAAGCAGGAGGGGCTGCAGGCAGGAGCAGGCAGTGTATCTGGTCAGGGGCCTCACCAAGCTGCCCTGTGCCCCCCCATGGGATGTCCCCAAGCTGTGTCCTCCCCAGGCATGTGGCTCATGAATAAACGTTCCTGCCCTACTTGGTGTTGGAGTGCTGTGGGGCTGAGGGTTGGGGGGCAATAGGATGGTTGACGGACCTGGAGGTGTCTGATTGTCTGATCCTGCTTGYTGTGGGGAGATGAAGCAGACATCACTCCCAAAAGACCAATCTGATAGCCTGGCACTGCCCCCAACCCCCCAAACCACTGTGCCAGGCAAACAGGGCTCCCTGCCACTGGGACCCAGGGGGATGGGATCACTCAATGTGTCCCAGCACCTGACATAGCTCCAGGGCTCTGGGCGCCACTGACACCCTGGGGCGTACAGGATGGGACTGGGAAAAATATAGGGGAAAAGGGGAGGAAATCCCAGGGACCTTGAGGTGGGAAAATGGTTGTCAAATGGAGTTCTGCTGGCCCAGAGCCCATCACAAAGGTCCCTTTCCCCACATGCCCCGTGTTCCCAGCTGTGGTGTGGCACCGTTCTGATCTCTGAGCCATGGGGAAGTTCCCAGTTTTGGTGGTGAAACCTGGTTGCGCCCCCCACCTTTTCAATCCCTGGCCCCAGCTCTGCCCCACCGCGGCCCCCTTTCCCCAGTGCCCGGCTCCCCGGTACCCTCATAGTGCCGGTGCCTTCAATAACACTGTGCTCCTGCCCCTCCCTTCGGTACGCCCCTGGGTGTCCCCAGTCCCCCGGTGTCC